GTTCGTGTGCTGGTGCAATTAGTACCTAGACTGCTGTATCATTCAGAGGAGGAAGTTTATGCTCACCTAGCTCATTTAGTGGGGGCCCCCAGTCAGGTAAAAAGGGAGCCCATAACAGCAATCACCCTGACAGTTCTCCTAGGCCTGGGCTTGGCAGGAGCAGGAACTGGGGTCTCCTCTTTAGTCTTACAAAACAAGCATTATAATGATCTGAGGGCTGCCATAGATATTGATATAGAGAGACTTGAAAACTCCATCACACACCTTCAAGAGTCATTAACCTCCCTAGCAGAAGTGGTGCTCCAGAATAAAAGAGGCCTAGATTTAATCTTCCTACAACAGGGAGGGCTCTGTGCTGCCCTGGGGGAAGAATGTCGTTTCTACATAGATCATTCAGGTGTGATCAAAGAGTCCATGGCAAAGGTTCGAGAGGGCCTTGCCAAGCTCAAACAGGAGCGTGAGCAAGCCCAAGGGTGGTTTAAATCACTGTTTAACTCTTCTCCATAACTGACCACCCTAATTTCCACACTGTTAGGTCCCCTGCTTATTTTGCTGCTTTTTTTGATATTTGGACCTTGCTTACTTAACCAACTGGCTTCATTCATTAAAGAACATGTCAGTACAGTACAAGTATTGGCTCTCAGGTCACAGTATCAGCTTATATCAGAAAACCCAATAGAGTTAACCCTCCGAGACCCATGATTGGGCCTTGATAGTCTCATGAGAAGGGGGGAATGTGAGACCTGGGTGACTCCATTTTAAAATGTGGCCCCATCTTAGAGTAAGGTGGCCTGGACATAAATTCTAATTCCAAGAAAAACCACAAGATGCACTTTGGCCACCTGGCCTGTGATAATGTTCAGCAGTCCCCTAGCAACTAGCCTAGCAACAGCTAATCAGTAGCTGCCTCAATGTCCCAGATGCTCTTGATGGCCTGCAACAGCTATTCAGTAGTTGCCCCAATACCCCAGTATCCCAGATGTTCTTTTCGATGACTTGAGCAGCCATTTGCAGTTCAGTGCGCAAGGCCCAACCAATTAGGTTTAAACTTTCAAAACTTGCTAAATGCTAGCCAATTGTGTGATTTGCATGTGATTTGAAACCCTGCGCCTTGCTGTAACCTCTATAAAAACCCCTGGTGTTTTAGAGTCGGGGCTCTCAATCCTGACCCACTGCGCTGGTGTCGTATGAGAGTCCCTGCTCGAGCTTGAATAAATGACCCTCGTGTGTTTGCATCAGAATCAGCTCCTAGGTGGTCTTTGGGGACCTCGCGATCTGGGCACAACACTGGCACTCCCTGTAGTCTTCTATATGCCCTGTATCTCACCCTATACTACCATAAAATGGCCAAGTCCTGTCCCATTTTACGTCAGAGGTTCCCTAAGGTTAAATAACTCACCTAAAGTAAGTTACCTAGAACGTGGTGGGGTTAGGATTTGAACTCTGGGCTCCTGGTTTGAGAACCCATGTTATTAGCACTAGCTTCACACCTAACTGATTATATGGTTCTTTAAAGAAAAATGAAAGACATCATTTTGTTTTTAAATATCCATGAAGGTTCTTATTGCCAGTCTCATCCCCAAGCTTCAGTTGTTCCAAGGTATCATATAAAATGTATTAATCTTCCCCAGAGGGCTAAAGCTGGTGGAATGAAATGCTCAAAACTGTGGAGTGGAGCCCACAAAATGAAAACAGGCACAGAGTCAGTTCTAATAAAGGGTTTTTTTCAGTCCTGGGATTTAACCCAATAAAAATAAAATATTAAAATCTCACTTGCCCATGTGTGCCAAAGACTATATCCCTCAGCCCTCTACTGACACACAGCCATAATGACTATTAACTATGACACTGATCCAGAGAGAGGCTGGGTTGTTTTTTAAAGTTTCATCTAATAACAATAAAAGCATGTAAAATTTACTGATAATGGGTTAGAGCCATCCCTACCAGCCAAAAGGCGTGGCCATTCCTTTGATTTTTCTTGTATGTGCTGGGGACACCATGACAGGATGAAAAAAAGGGCATATAGGCAAGGGTCAGAGTAGCCTGGATGTGAACTACAGCTCCATCACTCATTGCATGGGTACCCCGAGCCAGACCTTAACCAATTCATCTGGAACACTTCTTCACTCTGAAGCTCAAAGCACTGGAACAAATGAGATGACTCATGGAAACAGATCAGCAAGCACTTGTGAGCACAGGAGGTCCTCAAGAGAGAGGGGCTTCTATGCCTATTCATGACAACTCACAAACTGGCTAATGTTAACTAGTAATTGTCTTTTTTTTGAGCAGAGATATTTTCTGTGGTAGATTACAGATAATTACAAATTGTCACTACTCCTTCCTTAGAGAGGTGGAGGTTAATTCCTTTCACACTGAATCAAGGCTGATCTTAGCAAATTCCTTGGCCAGTACAATGTGGTATATAAGGAATTGCTGTGGTTTGGCTGTGATTTGAGTGTTCCCTAAAGTTTCACATATCGAAATTTAATCCCTACTGTGAGGTACTGAGAGGATGAGAACTTAATCTGGCTGTGATATTTCCAGGTAAAACTTTTGAAAAGTGATTCAGGTTAGATAAAACCATTAGGGTGAAGCCCCCAGGACTGAATGCTGGTAACTTTGTAAGAAGAGGGAAAGAAACCATACCCACACACACACCTTCCTTGTCTCACCATGTCATGCTTTGTGTTACTCTGGGACTCTGCCAGCAAGAAGGGCATCCCCAGATGTGGCCCCTACACCTTGCATTTCCATAAGAATGAGACCAAACAGTCTTTATAAAGTTGGACTGCCTCAAGGATTTCATTATAGTGATAAAAAGCTCACTAATGTCATATTGTTTGTTCTAGAACCTTCAACCTAGCCTCATAGTGGCAAGCTGCCTTGTTAAGAAGTCTGGCTGCCTGGAGGTCAGCATTCTGTGAGAAACCTTAAACTTTACATGTGAGAAGGCCTCAGGGAAAGAAACCCTGGGCCAGCCCCAGGTGTTCCAATCCCCGGCTGCTGGAGTCATTCCAACCTGGGTCCCAGATGCTGTATAGCAGATAGGGGTGTCTTCCAAGCCCTGCCCAAGCAGCAGGTTCATGAGCATAATAAATGGTTGTTATTTATTGCTTAAGCCATGCAGTTTTAGAGTGGTTTGTCACATAACAATGAACAACCGGAATAGTCAGGGGTTTTTTTCTAAATTAAAAAAATTTTTGAATTATTTATAATAGCATATTAGATTTGTATTGATTCTTTAGTTTTCAAGTCTGTTTTGGAGATGACAGAAACACTGTCTTTGTGGACAATGTTAATATAGGTATAACATAATAATTAGCTGCCAATAAAACACTTGAGTTATTACATTATGTATGCATGCCAGTACTCAGGGTGATTTAGTGAGGGTTGCTACCTATCTCCTAACCAGCAAAGAACTACCTACTATGAGCTATGTGCATATCCCAGCAAGCTTTACAAACAAGGAAATGAAATATACTTGATTTCTATAGCTGTTTCCAGCTCTTCTGATGTTTGGAATCCTTTCAACTTTTATAGTTGTTCAGTTTAGAAGATGGACCTTGCCATACTATAAAACTTATCTCTGAGCTTTAAAATAACTCACCCAATGCCTCTCAAATAATAGATGACCTTAAAACATTATACAAACTTTGGGGTACACAGTCAGCATAGGTGAACTTAACAAACATTTTGCTGTCTCCCAAATGTTCTATGCTGTTTTATCATTTCTTGTTTCTCTGACCACAAAGCCTGCCTTTCTTTCTCTGAAGGGTATGCGCATGTGAGAAATTCTATTTATCCTTCAAATGTCCCCTCTCCCATCAAGGCAGAGTTATCATTCCTTTATGACACTGCTTCTTCAATCTGTAAAGCTTTTTCACTAACAAACAAGCTTATTGTAAAAAAAAAGGCAGCAAACCCACAGTCCTATAGAGCACATGGAAAAAGAACATAAGAGGGTCTCCAGAACTCTTGGAGACTTTCTACTACGCTGAAATAGCCTGACGTGATCTGTGTTTCAGGGATTAGAATTCAGCCGAAGAAATGAGTCAATTAAAACACTGAGTTAGAATGCTATCTGTAGATAAAGTGCTTTGCACCAGAGGTACAACAATACAACCTGAATTACTATATTTAAAGGGCTGACTAGATGGTGATTTGCATATCAATCTCTTTTCATTTTCCTTTCTCAGTAAAAGTTAACAGGGTGCTGCTTACTCTAAGAAAGATAGCTCTCAATTTACTTTAGCAGGTAGACAAACACAATAGGCTTCACGTTTCCAAATCCATAGCTTTGGTATGACCTGGAGTTGTCAATCTTTATTGTTCCAAGTGGGTCAATAGGAACATTAAACTCACAAATCACTATTGGTTTTTACATCTGTTCGATGACAATTCCAATCCCAAAGGCTGTATAGACAATACAATCTCCTACCATGTTAGCAACATGTAGAAAGTCATAAACTCTCACTTTACTCTCATTTACCATTTTACTCTCAAATATGAAATGAAATCACATTTCAACCACTCATTACTTGAGAATAGCTGTGTATAACATTTCAAGCCATAGGTTGTATAGTTACAGAATGATAACAGGTTCTATGTGACAAAATGCAATGTACAGTTTCTTCTTCATAAGCCACCCTACAGAAGTTCATACTGGAAGACCCTGTATTCTACTATAAAACCAAGAGCAAGAACATTTCTGACAGGCATTTTCAAGTTAACTATGCTCAATGCATCATGTTAGAATTATTATAATGGAATCTATATTGCAACTGATGTTCAACACATTAGAATGACTTAATGCTTGGTATTCTATCCAGATGAAGCAGAGGGAAAATTTACTGTTCTTTTTCACTGACTCAAGCCTGGTCTTCTTCCAGAAAGTGTATATTTCTAGCACTTTGCAAGCAGTAACACTGGTATATTCTAGGAAAGAAAACATGTTATGAACTTACTTAACAGTTGGCAATAGAGGGCCTGTAAACTTCTCTTCATGGTATCATCTGGTCCTGCTTATTGTCCAGTTTATTCATGATTCTGTCTAGGAAAACAGGAGAAGAAAATTGTTACATCCAGGGAACAGAATTTATAATCAGAAAGATCTCCACTCAACATGAGCCTGGTTGTAAAGCCTAAAACACTTTCATCTGGGGCAGAAAAGTCTTGAGATAGATACACCACAATCAGTTTAATTTACAATGGTCTACATTATAAAATTACCACTGATCAATTGGTCACATCCTGAAAGCATACATTGCCCAGAAGGAAGCTCGTGCACAGGTACTGAGTGAGACTCTGGCTTGGGAAGTGTTGAGGTCTTTCCCCAAATCTCTTCAGAATCTCTAGATTTAAAAGGAAAAACAACAAATTTCTTTTCTAATTGATATCTGCAAAGATGGTCACAAAAATAAAAACAAAAGAACTGGAAAGCTTCACCATACTTGAAATTGTATTATTTAAAACAACTTTTAATTATTTTTTGATTACAAAACATACAACTGGTATGGAATACTTAGAAAATAATAATAGAAAAAATATATAAGAATAAACAAAAAAGTACAAATTACCAATTATCCTGCCAATAGGAGACAACGATTGCTCAGATTTCAGAGTGCATCTCTCTAGCCTTGGGAATGTGCACTTTATTAGTCTGTGTCATTTTATGTATTGTACATTTCATTTTTCTCTAGCAGCAAAAACATCTGTATTGTTACTGTTGTTTTACCAACCTTATTTTAAATGGCAAACTATTTAAGTTCCTAGAAATGGAAATACAAGGATACATTTTACATCTTTTGAAATAAATATACTGCCAAATTTCCCCCATCAACAGCTGTATATTAGAATAATTATTTAGACTACACTCTACCCAATGATGGAAATTATTATTTCTTTTCATCTTTACCAGGAAAATAGGTAAATATTCCATCTCATTGCTTTAATTTGTAGTTTATATGTTTATCAGTCAGTTATATAAAAAAATTAATTTATATTCTGTGATCATTCTCTTCTGACATGGCAGGTTTTCTTATGACAAAAGTGGAACTGATGAATCTTTAAAAAATTTTAGAGACATAATTCACATATCATAAAATTTAACCTTTCAGGTATAGAACGCTCATTGGTAGTACATTCAAGTTGTTCAACTATATCACCACCTAATACCAGAACATGTTCATAACTCTTTAATGCTAATTAGTAGTCACTCTCCCATTTCCCTCTCAATCATTAACCTAGTGCCTATCTTTATGAATTTGCTTATTCTGGGTAGTTTATACAAATAGAATTATTCTTGTCTAGCACTTTTTTAAACTTAGCATAATGTTCTCAGGTTCATCTATGTTGTATAACATGCTGGATTTAATTTTAAAAAAATAGAGATGCTACACACCCTCTCCCCTCTTATCTCTTTCATGGCTAGAAATGTCTTCTTTACAAATACTTGCTGCATTTTCTTCTGGTATTTTTACTTTCATTTATTACATTCTAAATCCTTTTATATTCTTAAACTTGTTTCTGGACTTTGTGTTATACTTTATTTCTGTTTGCTCATTCCTCCATTAGAACAGTAAATGTTTAAACTCTTCATAGTTGGTTTTCCATTATTTCTCTTCTTTTTAGAGTTGTCTTGTTTCAGGTTTCATTATACCACAAGTTAACTTTAAAGGGGCCGAGGATTTAGCTCAGTGGTTCTGCTGCCTGCCTTGCAAGCACAAGGACCGGAGTTCGATCCCCGGTACCACTACCCCCCAAAAACAACAAAAAAACCCCAAATTAATTTTAAAGATCATTTTATTAAGTTACAGAAAAAAATCATCGTGATTATAGTTGGATTTGTATTTTCTTCTGGGGTAGTCAAGGACTTAAAAACCATTTTTGCTATAAACCATGACCCTTCCCTTAGGCCTACATGTGTCTAATAGGTAACTAAAAGCAGAAAAAAGTTTAATTTTTTTTATATCTTTTGTTACTGTGAATCTTGGGTCAAATTTCTTCTCAGCTTTTCATAGGGGTATGTTGATTATTTAGGGAGTGTTTTTCTAGGACCTGGCAAGACAGGATTGATTAGTCCTGAAATTATGGATCTTGTTCTCTTTCAAGACTGAGGACACCAAGATAAGAGGTTTAGAGGGATATTCAGCTATACCTAGAAATCTCCAGCCATTGTCCAAAACCTGTGATTGTTGCAGAAATCTCGGAAAGAAATACACAGACACACAGAATTTGGATAAAATAATAAAATTTCTTCTCGCAAGCAGGCAGGAATGTCAGAAACCAGTCTGGTCAGTATCCACGCCCTGTTTGTTCAGCATTTCCCTTTTTATATCCTTTTTAGCCATTATCTCAGCCCTAGTGGTCTTTGATATGTAAATACAATTCCAGTTCCTATTTACAAGTCACAGGCACAAGAGAGGCCATATACATTGTAAATTCACCCTGGCTTGGTAACTTTGTTAGGTTAATGAAGTTACTGGTTAGAGTCAGATAATCCTCACCTTAAACAAGGAGTTAAGGGAAAAGCAAATCTTAAAAAACCACATTACTTATTTTGCTTTTACAACTACCTTAATATTCAATTTATTAAGTTATCTAAAACTTTTCCATATCATGATCACCTGGATTTCAGGGAAGACAGAGTCTCACATGACTGAGACCATCACAGACAGAGACAATCCTTTCCTGGGAAGGAAACCAGCCCTCAGCAATCAAGATTCCAGAACTCTGATACCACGACTGGGATAATGATCAACTGGACACCAGTCCATCAGCTAGTCCTTAAATGCTGGCCTCCTGCCTTCATGAGTTGGCCATTCTCAACCCCTGTATCAGGGTGTGCCCCCACAGCTACCTAAGCCTGAGTCCTTTCCTATTATCCCTCTAACTTCCCAATGAAAGCTTTTTTCCCTGTAAAATTATGCTTTCTTTTTAATTTCCATTTTTATTAAAACAAGGACCCAAAGCTAACCAGCAACAGTAACAAAAGAACAAAACAATAATTGTAGTTTATTTTATTTAAGGGGAACATGAGCTCCTCTATCATCTATGGAAACGCTTAGAAGTTTTTGAAAAAGTGATATTTTCCACAATACATTTGAGCCTTTAAATCTGGAGGACTTAGGATCATTTGGGTTACTAAAGGCTATCCCAACTAGAAGCATGATATGGTCTACTATTTATTCAAAATTCATCTTTATTTAGATCCTTCTCTGGCTTTTTGTAGTAGCTTTCTTTCACTTAAATTCTACACATTTATCAAGTTCATTCCTAGGAATTTTATATTTATTTTTGCCACTGTGATGGAACTTCTGTTTCTGTTATATTTTCTACTTCTCTCCATATGAAAATGACTGAGCTTTGTATATTCATTTTGTGATCTAAATAAACTCACTCTTTTTGTAAGGCTTTCTTAGCTGAGTTTTTTGGGTCAACTGTGCTGCATTGAAAAGGCAGTGGGCCATAATTAGATGATATCAAAAGCCCCTTTTCAAACATATAGCAGGAAACATTAACTGCATCAGTATGGACCCCTCAGGAAATACTTGAAAAGTTCTAAGGATTATAAGTAGTTTCTGGAATGAAGAAAAAACAAGCCAGTTTTACAGAACCAGGCCCTTACTACTTACTTATAATCCTTGGAACTTTTCAATTATTCCCCATCCCAAACCCCCCAGGACTCAGACACCAAGGCTACCCACCTCTTGGTTCACACACCAGGCCAGATTGCCCAAGAATTCTAGCAGTGTGCCTTCCCACAGACCACACCTGGATGGCCTGCCCAAAATCTCTGCACAGACGGGTGAAGCGCTTTCCCAAAGAAAGATAATTGCAAAATGTAGAGGAATAACCTCATTTCATCAAACATGCAGATACCATACACAGCAACAAGGACAGGAACCATCAGAGAAACATGATACCATCAAACAACAAAGCACAAGAAATGACTCTAAAAATGGAACTTTATGAACTACATGACAAATACCTCAAATAATTACTTTAGCTAAACATGACAGACTTCATAAAAATTTAGAAAAAAAAAGAAATCATGAAAACACTAATGGTCAAAATGAGAACTTAATAGGATGAAGTTCTAAAAAATTCTAGAGCTTAATAATATGATGGATGAAATGAAAAAATGCAACAGATTATCAACAGCAGAACTCACTGGGTAAACAAAAGAATTTGTGAACTTTACAGATGATTTGAAAATATAGCAAGGGAGGAAAAAGAGAAAAAAGAATGAAAAGAAATGAAGATGTGTGTATGGGGAGTATAAAAAATTCTCAAATTATAGGAGCGTAAGAAGAAAGGAGAGACAAAGGAACAAAATACTTATTTTTTTTTGAATATCCTCTTATTGGTACATTTTAGGTGTACAATATAATGACATTCATCATTGGAAATATGCACCTTTACATACTCTCTTGGTTCTTATTTTTTCTCCCTTCCCCTGCCCTCCCTTCAACCCCTCCATCCCTCCCTATTTACAAAGACTTTGTTTCCCTTTCTTCATTTTCTCATATTAATTCCATTCCCTTCTTTCCTTTCCCCTACTGCTCCCACTTCCCCCTCCCCTTTGCCCCTTTTCTTCCTATTTCACATTATCTATTATAACTTTTAGTCCTTATTTACACTTTCAGTTTCTCACACTAGAGAAACTATTCGGTATTTACACATGTGTGTCCTATTTATTTCTCTTAAGAGTATCACCTCAATGTGCATCCATTTAGCTATAAATGTCTCTAGTTTCTCGTTTTTGATGTCTGAGTAGTACTCACTTTATAAAAAAAACCATTTTCTTTATCCAGTCTCCAGTTAATGGGCATTTGAGCTGTTTCGAAGTTTTAGCTATTACAAACTGTGCTGCTATGAACATGGGTGCACATATATCACTGTGGTATGATTCTTTTAATTCTTTGGGGAAGATACTTAACAGGGTATAGCTGGGTCAAATGGGACTTCCAGTCCTAGTTCTTTGAGGTATCTCCATATGGAACAAAATACTTATGACTTAAAGGAAGAATAGAAACATTTCCGACTCTG